AAAAAAAAATGCTAACTTCATTTTCCTTTTCATATCCCAAGTTAATGCTCTCAACATCAAACAGGCAGCTCCACCAACAACATATCCTGCTCATTTATATTCGCAACCACCAGTTCCAGAATTTAATTATTACTTCTTCTTAATATAGAAACTTTTCATACAACAAAAGAGTAGAACTTAATTCACTCCCTACTTTTCTCTTGTCATATACCACCTTAGGAAACGGTATTTACATTTTACAGCTCACCATGCCAGGAAATATATCCTGGCATCTAATACAAAAACAAAATTTTTGCTGTATGCTTTTAAGTTATAGATTAAAAGTATATATATTATTTTTTTTATAATTAATTTGTATTAAATAATTAAAAAATAACTTTATTTTTATCAATTATTCAATTAAAAATATGTATGTGACATTGACAATAAAAATAAGGTCAACTTTTGTAATTTTTTTAAAATGTACCATTAATATATTCTTTAAGCAAACTATTTTCTTGCAAAATTATATAGAAAATTCATCAATCTGAATATAAATTAATAATTAAATTACATTGTTTATCACAAACATTTCCAGCAACCTAGTTCTCAGTTGGTTTGAGATCTCAACCCACATGAGGGAAAAAAAACCATAATTGTAATCATATAATATTATTTTATAGATACTATTAGGAATCACACGCGTTAATGGCAAAAATTAAATAAAAGGCTCAGGCTTTCTCATGGCAAAATATCTGGAATGAGTAGAAAAAGTCCTCAAGAGATGAAATTTAAGAAATTTCTCTCAGTCGTCTCCAAATGGAATAATAGACAAGCCATTAAGCAATTCTGAAGAATCAGATCAGAGTCATCAGACCCATTATTAACAATGCAAAAATGTGATATAAGGATCCAAACTCACACAAAATTCTCAATTTCGGATCCAAATTTCAATTATGCTCAATTAAGATCCTAAATTACATGAAATTCTCAAATAAGGTCTCAATTGAATAAAATATTTTCTTGATGAATGGAATATTCTTTTGCATGCAAATATCTTGGATGCTAATTAACAATCCGTCACTCTCTCAGTTAATTGGATCGTTCGTGAGAAAACGTGTTGATTTGCCATTGCCATGTGAATGCCACATAGATGCCACATATGGATCCCATATGATTTTGAAGGAATCAAGCTATAAGGAGAATCTATGTGGCACCACATGGCATCCACGTAGCAATTACACATCAGCATGTTTCCATGTTAGCAATCAAGTTGGCTGAATAGTTAACGGCATCTAAAACATTTAACGACAAAAGAATATTCCATCTAATTGAACCTTATTTGAGAATTTCATGTAGTTTGGGATCTTAATTGAGCATAATTGAAGTTTAAGTCCAAAATTGATAATTTTGTACAAGTTCAAGACTTTTTTCCATATATTTGCCTTATAACAACATCACAAGAGCAGAAATGTAATTCTAAAAAAAAATAAATAAATAAATAGAAAATCACCAAAGTATAAGAAAAATGGGATTACCAGTTTGTTGGATTCCTTTCCCTTTAGGAGGTGCTGGTTCCATGAATCGACGGTGTGGCAACTGATGACCTGACCCTCCTCGCCTGCCATTTCTGATACCTCTCAACTCTCACGGATTCTTATCACACAATAAAGTAATAGAAGAAACACCCCACTCTGCGCCTCTGCCAACGCTTCTTAAGATGGCCAATTGACTTAGCGTAATTTGATGAGATCTCCCCTATCATCAAGGCCGTTAAATTTGATCCATGGCAGAGTCTCACCTGCTATCCTTTGCTTGTTTTGTTGGAACAACAAAATTATCCGTTGATAAGTCCAGTGGCCTAGTCACTGATTTCATATGAAATTCACTTGTTGGTTGTGTTCAGACCCCACCAATCCCTTCTCCAATTTTCAGTCCCCCTCCCCCTACTTGTAATAAATTGTCTATGTTAAAACAAAAATTTTCTCTTAATCAAATTGTAAAATAAGAATAATTAAATAAAAAAGATAAGTATTAATATTATGATAAATTATTATTTAATTATGAGTAATGATCCGTGAGACGACGTTACAGGACGATTTTTGGAGACGACAAGTGAAACAGGGTCAGATTGGTAATTGTTATTGGGATTGCTTCACTTATCGTCTTCCAAAATCAGCTCGCAATGTCGTCCCGCGGTTCATTACTCTTTAATTATTTAAATTATATAATTTAATATAATTTAAATCACAACATATTTTTATTTGGTAAATATTTCCTTTTTGAAAAAAAAAAAAAGGTTCTAGTTCTACTACTGATGAAAAAGAAAAGAGAGAAGAACCAGCACGAGATACTTCATTCTAATGTTGTAGTAACATTAGCTCTATCTACAACTGTATCAAATTCTTGAAGCAATAAGTACCAATAAGGAACCACCCGACAAGAAGGAAGGCAAAGAAGACCAAGAAAGTCAGGAATGTTGTGCCTCCAAGTAAGAGTCCAATGCCAGATACGATAACAAAGGGCAGGAAAGATTGCAAAACAGATGCTTTGTCCACCCATCGACCCTTGAGGAAGATGAAAGCGGCAAGGTTCACCACGTTCCATCCACCAGAACGAAAGCCCATCCTGTTGAGGTTGTTGGCTACAAAAGAATGGCAATTGCAAGTGAAGAGGTTGTATGATCGGTGTTGGAACTCCTGTGTGCTCTTCCTTATTGCATCATCCCATGTTAATGTCTCCCTTCCAGGATCATCTTGTAGGCATACATCCAAGTCTTTGAAAGCAGGAGGATGGGGAGAAACCCAGCATTCCTGGCAAAAGTTTAAAAGGGTACAATATTAGACGTAGGACAGATATTAATCATTGGAAAGATGATAGCAATGGGGTGAAAAATGAGATGAGAACCCATATATACCTGTTCTTTGTTGATTTGGACATAGCGAGCTACAGCCCCAAAAGCAAAATTATCTACACAGATAAAATTAGGCCCTGCAAAGTCCAGTATCACTCCATCTTCTCTGCATATGCCAATGTGACCAATGAAAGGAATGAACCATGATATAACAGGAAGGGGAGTCCAAACAATGCAGCACGGAAACCTTGCTCTTTGTGGATCAATTTGCATAGAATGAGGAAAACCTTCAGCCACCATTAACTGGTGCTCAGGATCTACCTCTTCTCCCATTGGCAAAGTTGTCTGAGGTTGAATTTCCTGAACATAGGAGTATGCAAGAGAATCAAATTAAACAGTAATGCACTCTAATAATATGAACAAGAAGCCAGAGTTACATGACAAAACAACAATTCCTAAACTAAAGTATGAAGCTTTATCAGAGAGCAACTCTGTGTCGTTGCGAAGTCTCAACATTTCACCCAAATGCTAGCGAACCACTTTACATCTGAAGCCATCATTGAAAGAACAAAAGAAAAATCTTAAGTAACTTTGTGGTTCTTTAACCGAAAGAGCCAGTTGCTTTTTTCTCTTGATATTCAAGGGCATTAATTTGCTTTTAAGCATTACTATCCATCACTGCGCTTTCTTTTCCTTTCTTTTAGAAACGTTAGAAACAACATCACTTCAAATAAACTGCGCAAAATTTGAACCTAAATTAGATTACCATCAACGACTGCCCTCTCTTTCCTTTCTACGCTTGTCCTTTTGGTTAATACATTTCCTGATCTCATTATTTCGTTTCACATCATATCATGTCTCGTTCAAGTTACAATATGATGTTACAAAATAAAAAAAGAAACCTGAGGGAAAGTTACTGAATTTTAATGCGTATCTTCTATCTGTATTGCTTGAAGAAATTTCAAGTATTATTCAAAAGAAGGCATTTATGCCATTAAACACTGAAGTTCATCCTTCTTCTTCATCAAATACACCGGGATATAGCTTCCTATTCTATCCCTAGAAACTCCCATCAGATACTCAGTAATACTAGTAATTAAATCATAAGAACCCAATCTGTCCACTACCCATGTTGAAAAGAGCACAGAAACAAAGTTTTACCAAGATGATGAACACCTGAAAGGCATGCAGATTGTAATGCATTACCAGTCACTGGATATGTGAAGCATTCCAAGAGCACAGACAAAGCATGAAAAGCACCAAAGATTTTTTGACCTAATCAAGATATCCATTCGAACACAAAAGTTGATAATTCCATTAGAAACGGAGGGAGAGATCGGTGAGAGTACCTGTCTTAGCGCAGAAATCGGAGAAAGATGGAGCCGGGATCGGCAGTCTCTGACTTGGGTGGGGATCCGTTGATCACAAAATAATTCCTGAATGCTGATTCCTTTCTCCCTGGAAACTGCATGTCCATTTGGTAAGTTGCTTTGTATTAATTGGACCAGGATTTGTACCGTAACAGATCCGGTTCAGTGTATAATGTTGGCTTGGAGTCTGCATGTCTTTTGTTTCGAGGGAAAGTTGTCAATTTTCATGTTATTATATAATTAATTTTTTATATAAAAGTTTATTTAAAATATTAAATATATAAGGAATGTTTAGATAAGAATTAATAAAGAAAGGTAAAGAAAAGAGAAGGAAAGGAAAGAAAATGAAAGTAAAATAATATATTAATATTAATTTTGTTTAAATAAATCGAAAAAGAAAAAGCAGAGGGAGGAGAAGGT